CGCAGGCCCCGCCCCTCGGCCGGCCTGCACGCTCGAGGCCCCGCCCCTAGGACCGCCTGCACGCCGGGGCCACGCCCCTCTATCCGCCCGCACGCCGAGGCCACGCCTCCTCCCTGCCCGGCCTCGCCAGGACTTGCGGGTTCTGGGTCCCAGATTTGGCTGGGCCACCCCGCCGACGGGGTGGCCTCTTCATACCTGCCCGGTGTCTGCAGGCCTCGCTTTCTGCCTCCCCTCGCGCCGGCTACCGTTTCGTCAGTACTGCCAGCGGCCCCTTCAGCATTTTCGTGCTCTTTTCGCAACCGCTTAGTCCTGTTCGAAGCTCGCGTTGGTGCCTTCTCTTTTCTGTGGAAGGTCTACGAGATTCTCTAGGTTGGCCTCGGCTTCCACCGCAGTTTTCCTGCCGGCCATTCAGTCCCCTTTCCCGGTTCTCTCCCGTGCTTTCTGGGACGTTCGGTCCCCAGTGCGTTCCGGCTCCTTCCCTGCCTCTTCACCTCTACCTGGTCCGCAGCTCTTAACTCCTGGGTTCCTGCCTTGCCAAGCGCGTCCTAATTTCCGTCCCGCTGGGCCGGTCGGGTCCCTCTTGGCACTCAGTTTTCCTTTACTTAACATTTTGCGCGTGCTCTCGGTTCCGACTACTCCACACAGGTCAGGTGCAGTTTTCGAGTATTCAGTAAATGCAAGATAGCGGTCTCGCACGAAGGGAGTCCCATTCAGTGGTTAGACATCTCAAAGCAAGCGACGGCAGTGATGACCGTCTTGCATAGTTCCATCCGTAATTTCTTTGCACTATACTGTATCGATCGACCACTTAAATTTCAAGGAATGGAATGTTGCTTTGGGACTTGGAATTCACAAATTTTGAATTTTCCCCCCCTGCTACCTAACCTCACTTTAGGTTCTGTATGAATAAAACAGTAGAAAGAGCACCGGGACTCAGATCTCTTGTTCGTGATTGTAAAATATGGAATTCGCCCTTTTCACCTTTAACGTAGTTAAGAGAGCTCATTTCGAAGAAGGCTGTGGGTTAAATGATTTGGGCACAGGTAGACATCTGGTTTACTTGTAACTTCACTTTTGAAACTGCAACTTAGAACTTAGGCTGTGATAAGGAAATGAATTAAAAAACATACCAAAATGAAGGAAACTGATTAAGGTTTGGGAGTTACATCCAGGAGTTCCTTTAAGGTATGCGAGTAAACATTATCCTTAAATTGAAGAGTTAAAGCTCTCTTCCATTCTAAACAATATCCACGCTGTATGTGGACCTTCAAAGTTTAAAAGTATTGTTGAATTGAACAAACACATTACAAGCATTTGAGAGCCTAATAAACCATCTGTCCATCCTCTTTCACACAAATTGGGAAACAGAAAAGAGTAAATGCCAAAAGCTGGAAGTGAGGGTTCCTTACTACACATGAAACTAATAAATCCTATTGCACAGAACAAAGTATCTGAAAAACCCCAAAGGCTATGACTGTCATTTCATCGCTTTGGAAATAGAATCATATAATTTTATAATTGAATTATCAACCCCTCAAAATCATCTGGAGTCTAATCTTCTTATTTTACTGAGTAAGAGCTGAAGCCCAGAGAGGGTAAGTTGCTTATCCAATATTACCCAGCTTAATTGGAAACAAAGCTAGGATTCAAACTCAGACCTTCTCTCTCTCATGCCTGCCAGTGTCTGGCTTATAGTTAATACTTACATAAAGCTGCTCAACATCAGAATTCTTTGACTTCGTAGTTTTGCCAGAATGGTCTGAGTGATGTATGAAATTGAACTTGGCACTAGCAATGTAGGTATTGCTGTCAGAGGCCATTGCATTCCACTGGTTTCAAGGATTTCTGTTACACAACCTTCATCCCACTTAGTCAGGCTGCATCTGCATGATCCACGCAATCTTGGCGGAGCCTCTGGACCTATGACCCAACCAAACACATTCATCCTTGGAGGTGCCAAGGACTATGCTGATTCTAAGAATTATGAGGTTCCCAGTGACAAGAAAATTAAATTACTGAGGAGGTAAAATATGAAATATAAAATGATAGTTCAACATAAATAATCAAGGATAAGGATTCGATTGTAAATTTCAAATTTTAAACTGGGAAATAATTCAGTAAATTAAAGGAAGATTCTTAAAGGACAAAAAAGGAAATTTAAAACTCGGATTGGTTTATAGGGGAAAAGGTAAGGGAAATTGCTTGAACCAAAGCACTAAGAAGAAAATAGGGCTCATCCACAGTGGTATAGGTGGTAGGGTGCTTCTAGACAATATGGGGGAGGCACTGGGTGCAGTCTCCAGGTTGACATCGAACACTCTGGGCATGCCTGTGGGTGAGTCTGTAATCCTGACTGAAAGACTGGGAGTGTAAAGGTGATCCCAGCGATAAGAATCTGTGTGGGGGGGGAGGTTCCTGTCTCTCTCTCTCTCTCTCTCTCTCTCTCTCTCTCTCTCTCTGTTAAAAAAAAAAAAAAGAGGGGCCAGTGAGTGGCATGGTGGTTAAGGGTGCTGAACACTCACATGGCCAACCACGGTTTGAGTCCCGGGAGTCGCGGGCGTGGCTGCGTGCTTTCTTACTTTCTGTGTGTGTGTGTGTGTGTGTGTGTGTGTGTGTGTGTCCCTCTCTGGTCCAATTAAAATTAACTAAGTAAGTTAAAATAATTCTTTTTAAAAAGGCGAGGAGCTGGCAGGTGGCGTGGTAGTTAAGGTGCTGGACTCCCACATGGCCAACAAGGTCTGGTTCAAGTCCCAGATCTGGTGGCTTGCTTTCTCTATCCTTTCCTCTCTCTCTCTCTATCTTTCTCTATCTTACTGTGTGTGTGTGTGTGTCCAAGATCCCGAGAGAATGGAGGAGCACATGCCTCTCTCTGGCAAATGCATGTGCATTATAACAAACAACTATAAAAAATAAAATTAAATAAATAATTTTTTTTAAAAAAAGGAGCAGAAAATGGTCATGCCAAAAGTAGGAAAAAGATGAAGACCAGCAGTTAACGTAATGGCTATGTCGCTGGACTCCCATGTAGTCGACCGCGATTCAAGTCCAGACCCGGTGGCTTAAACTCATGCCGGGCATGTGTACGTGCGTGCCCAAGATCCCGAGAGAATGGAGGAGAAGGGATTGCAGCGTGACCATCCCCCCTAGGGGGTGATTTCTCACTTTCTGTCTCTCTCTCTGTCTTTCTGGTGAGTACACACACCCTATAGCAAAAAACTCTCAAAAAAAAAAAAGTAGGAAAAAGATCAACTGAACTATTAATAAAACAGAAGAACCACTTTAGAAACAACATAAAATTAAGCTGAACCAGTAAAGAAAAACCATTGGCAGAGGGCCTGAATTTGGCCTGAAAATTTAATTTAGGGACCAACAGATGGCATCATGATTGCGTTACTGGACTCCCACGTAGTCAACCAGGTCAAATTTTGGGCCTGATGCCTTAAAACTCATCCATGGCACTTGTGTGTGAGTGCCCAAAATCCCAAGAGAAGAATGGAGAAGGGATTGTAGCATGACCATCTCCCTGGGAGGTTGGAGGGTGGTGATTTCTTGCTTTCTAGCTCTATGTCTCTCCAGCAAGAGCATGCATCCTACAGCAAAAATCTCTCTAAAAATAAGAAAAATTTCAATTCAAGATTTAATCATTCAGGTGGACTTAGAAGAGGACAAGTGGGGAGGAAAGGTCAAAGAGAACATAACTGTCAAGCTGTCTGAAGCCAAATGAGATTTTTTTCAAATGCAACTAAAGATAGGGTGTATTTTAGTTGTATTTTCAAATACAACTAAAGAGAAGATTTGTGTTCAGTGAGTATATATAGGAAACTAAAAAGACTACGTACTGCAGTATGACTTTAGGATTGTGGCAAGAGTCTTGAACAGTACACGTAGACCTTTGCACCCCAGAGCTAGAAGATGATTAGCAATCACTGGTACAGTCTAAATTCATAGGTAAGGAGACAGGGCAGTTTCTCCAGGTAGGTCCTCCTCATTGCAGCCTCATCCCAGAAAACTATAATTTGCTACACAAATGGAATTAGAAGGTAAGAAAGAAAGCTCTTACCCTGTTTCTATGCCAATGTTTTATGATCAACCTATTTTTACTTCCATTTCAGCCCTATTGATGTAAAAATGCGTAGTAGTGTAGTATATAATGTTACCGTCGGAAATAAGTCAGTCAGTATTTATTAAATACATTCCAAATGCTATTCAGAACTCTGCGACATGTAAAGGCCTAGGAAAGCATAACAACAGCCTCTGACTTCTGGAAGTTTACAATCTGGTTGAAGAAAAGAGGTCAATGCTCCTAACATGATAGAAAATAAATTCTGTGAACAATGAGGAAAAACTTGTGTGAACTGTGAAGTGTGTTTATATAGAGAGAGTGAGAAATATATTTGAATGGACTAGAAATAATATGATTACAGGGTTTATCATTCAACTGATTTTCATGACTCTTTAGGCATGTTCTAGGTACTGACTATAAAGCAGTAAAATCAAAGCTCCAGCTCTCACTGAGCTTCTATTATATTAAGGAGAAACAGAGAAGAATAAGTAAATGCACAACTGCCAAATAGTAAGTGTTCCTAAGAAAACAAAATGAAAAGGTGTCAAAATGAGCATCTAGCAAGTAGGTTAGATCTTTCTGAGGCTCGTTTAAATGATGACTTGAATGAAAGAACTCATCATGTACAACCTGGACTAGAGCACTTCAGGCAGACGGTAAACTACTTTAAGCACTAAGACAGGGTTCGACTTCATGTATTTGAGACTATGGGAAGAGTCTAAGTGTGCTAGGAGGAAAGTGAGGGAAATAAAGGAGAGATAACTTAAGACCTTGTGGTTAAAAACAGCTTTTTGAGGTACTATTAAAGTATGGATATTTGGAAGATTAGTACTCTGGATTTGAGGAAGGGGAGCTTATAACTTGCAAGACCAGATGAAAGCCTGCATAATAATCCTGGCAGGAGGTGTTACGAGGTAGGCAACATGAGCAGCAAAGGTTAGCAAGGAAGACAAAAATGTCAACAAGATTGAGTATTGGGTACTTATGGGAGGTCATAGGCAGTGTTGTTGCAGAGAGGCCATGGTGTCAAACACAATAGAAAGTCAAGGAGAATAAGTATTAGTAAAGAACTAGCGTGGTGCGCAACAAAGATCATGTACAACCTTCAAGAGAAGTTTCCATAGAGGGGGGATGGTAAGAAATGAGGAAATAGAGGTATGATCTTTGACGTTAACACTCAGTACAATCCAAAACATATGAAGCATATGTGTATTTATTTTTTTCTTTTTTTGGAGAGGTTTTTGCTATAGGGCATGTGCACTCGCCAGACAGACAGAGACAGAGACAGAAAGCAAAAAAATCACCCCCCGGGGGGATGGCCACACTGCAATCCCTTCTCCTCTATTCTCTTCTCAGGATCTTGGGCACACACACACGCGCCCTGTGTGAGTTTAAGCCAATGGGTCCGGGACTCGAACTGCGGTCAACTACATGGAAG